AAAAAAAGGATAATCACCAAACAGCGGCACTGGAAACAAAAGTTGTATAAACTACAGACATGTGGTAAAGTGATAGTTCAAAACCTTTGAAGTGGGGTTTATGTGAGAAGGTTATCAACAGGTAATATCTTGTGGCAATGGTCAAAGTAGATTGCTGCCATATTAAATTAACTCCAGTCTCAAAAATCTTTCTGTGGTTCATGCAGAAGCTATTTCATTAACTTTACACAGTCATCAGTTTAACATAATACAACAATTAAAATGAATAATATAACTGTTTACTATATAAAATTAAATTACTATTTACTATGAGAGCGGTTTACTATATTAAATTATTTCAGGGGTCTCTCTTGTAAATGAGTCCTCGGGGCTCAATGGGATTTACCTGTCTAAATAAAGGTTGAATGAAAATCGCCACAGCAGCAGCTAACTGTAGCACTTCCAGTAATAACTTCAGATTTTGCTGTAAAAAGAACTGCAATGTGAACCCGACAATGATGTAAGGATTTAAATGACAGCGTTTGCAGGAACCACTAAAACATTTTTGAAACTGGAATTGTTTCAAGATGGCAGCAGTCTGCTCTGAGTTGTTCTTTATGAACAAGCCATTCCTAGTTTCTTAACATTGCTAAATTATTTCAGAATGGTTCATGCAAACGCTATTTTTCAAAGCCTTTACGTCACTTATATTTTTACATTACGAGCATTTTGGCAGAAATGTCGTGAACAACCCGGAAGTGCTGCTAATCACAGATCTGCACCAGAAGTGCTACAGCTGCTGCTGTCTCCGTTTGTGTCTGCAAATACTCAGTAGAATTAAGACAAATCTTCATAGAACTATAGAGATTGCTTTTACTGTGAAAACGCTGTGTGAATGCTGATTGGTGCTGCAGTTGAAACCAGGCTGAAAAGGATTCATCGCTAACAGAACGGCTGACATTTGCTGAGAGCAGGAACATAAAAGTGGAAAGCAACAGAAAAACAGCAGAAATTTGTAGACAAGGCTGAATAGAGCAGAAATGTAGTGGAATTGAGCAGAAAAAGCTGAAATAGGCAGAGAGAGACTGAATAGATTACACACAAAAAAAATCTAAAATTATCAAAAAGCTCTCTGAAATTACTAGAAAATAGCAAAAAAAAAAAGAATCATTAAAACATTTTAAAAGAAAGGCTCAAATCAACAGAAAGAGGCTGAAAGGAGCATAAGAAATGGAACAATTAGAAAAGGTGGAAGTTAGTACCTCCAAAAATGCAGGAAAAAATGCTAAAATTTTGCTGTTAAAGCTAAAATAAAAAAAAAAGGTTTAAAGAAGCTGAAAGATTCAGAAAAATAGCTGAACAAAGCTGAACCAGAACAAAAGCTGAAATCATCAGTAGAAGGTTTTAAAAACCTCGAACAGTTTGAAGGCCGTGAAGAGAGCTCCATTCATTTTCAATGAGAAAAACATGGCCGACAAAGCTAAACATTTCTGAAAGTAAATACTGCACAAAAACCAAAAGTCACAGCAGAGATGTCCTGGTTGAGCTGAATGTTTTGATATATCCGTTATCTTTACTTGCATCTTCTTTGATGTCAAATGAGTTGCGTTCCAACCATAACATAGGGAAGAACGGACCTCAATAGTATGAATGCTTCATAAACATTCAAACATCTACATTTTTAAAAACATATTTCAAATCCGCGGGCAATGTAAAATAGCTTTTGCATGAACCTCTACAAACCTTTTTGAGATTTGAACTCTTTACGACAGCAACAATCCACTTTACTCTTAGTGGCATTTGGACTTGTTAGCTCACCAGTCCTGCCAGATGTTACCTCCAAATTGAGGTTGTTCCAAATAAACCATTTACAACAGGTAAGATATTAATTGTTCATAACCTTTCCAGGATGTTTCAGACTTTAGAATGTTTGAAATATCCCTTTAAGCATGTATTCATCTCCCACTGGAGCACGGTCAGCCTCCTCGCTCACATCAGCAGCTGGAGCTCCCTCCCTGCATCCACCAGAAGGAAGGCTGCGGTGCCATGGAGAACAGCACCGTGCCACAGTGTCCCTGCTGGACAGAGGGGCGAGAAACATCAAGAAGCTTTTCTTCTCTTCATGTGCACCTCTTTGGTTCCTGTGACCCAGTTCTACAACTATCAGGAGCACAAGCTGCATCCAGTGAGGCCAAATGCAAACCAGCACAGGAAACAGCTTGATCGTAGCTAAAGGCTTTGCAGGGTGCTGCAGGTAACAAGAAGCTCTGGGCTAACATCGAGCACTTACCTTCAGCGCCAGATGGAAGATAGGCTCATAACAATTTTTTAATCAGTTAAATTAAATATTATATGATGTAGAGGTTTTAGCACGTGATCTGTGGTGAAAACAGCAACAGAGCAAACAGCTCTCAGCCCATTCTGGCTGTTGGTGTTCCAGAGCCTTTAGCTCTAAGTACGACAAACTTCAGACACGTAAACGGCCAAAAACTGATTCCTTTGTCAGAGGGAGGTTGAGCGGGTCGTCATGGGTCGTACAGTACATACAGTACTGAGTGAAAGTCAGACTTTTATGTCAGTTTGATCAGGCACCAAGTGTCAACTCACAGATGAAGACTGCGGTGGTGGTGGAGGTGGAGGAGGTGGGGCTCTGCTGCTGCTGCTGCTGCTGCTGCTGATCCTTGGCTGGTCAAACAAGCTGCTCAAACTGGTGCTACTTTGGAGAGTGGAAGTCCTGGAACTATAATAAATAAATAAATAAATCCTGCTCACTTATTTTGCTCGTCAGAGAACCATGAAATCTTCTTTGCACGTTTCTTTTAAGCTTTAAGTTTATCTTCTATCAACAGTTAAATGAAGTAAAACACAAGTAGTTCATTAAATATTACCGATAGTCTTTAACTCAAAGAAAATGTACACAAGTGATAGATGGGTAAAAATTTGAAACGTTTGATTAAACCTTCATGTAAACTGGATACAATATAGTCCAGTACATGATAAAACACAATTCAATATGAAACAATAACGTTATATAATACAGAATAACACAATACAAACCATATGATATGATATAAACTACACTATACCATACAATGCAATAGAATACAGTATGCTATAGTACAATATAGTAAAATAATGTACTGTCTACACAATGCAATACAATATAAGATGAGAGTTCTGCAATGGAGTTAAACTCAAAGCAGTCGTACGATATGTATGATACAATATGTTATGATACACAAACATGGTACCATTACTGTGCCATGTACTATAACAGAAACTGCTAACATATGATGTGATGTGTTATAATAAATTATATGTTACTGTCCCATTAGGGAAACTTGTTTTTTAGGGTTTTGGAGCTTGACTAAATAATGTCACATCATTCTTTCAAAACGCAGTCCCTCTTTTGATGTTTTGTCTGAGATCAATCAGAGCAGCTCCACCTAGTCCTCTAAAGAGAAAAAGCTAACCGATGCCTATAATAGCGCCTCTGACAGCATCTCCTCACTGGGGAAGGGAAGTGATGATGAATGACACTGTGATCAGCATAAAAAAACATCCTATGTTGTTAAATAACTTTACCTAATGGAAGCATATATACATTAAAAAGGAATGGTCCAAGCACTGAACCCTGGGGAACTCCATAACTAGTGCTGGTGTGAATAAGATTCATTATTTGTATTTACAAACTGGTCTCTATCAAACAAATATAATTTAAATATTTTAGAGCTGTTCCTTTAATCCCAATATCATATTCAAGCCTGTGTAATAGAAGGGGCCGAGATGGTAGAGGTAGAGTAGCCGACCAGGGACCAGAAAATCACAGGCTAAACTCCCCACCATGCCCACATGTCATGGTGTCCTTGAGCAAGATACCCAATCCCTAATTGCTCCCTGGGTGCTTACATAGATGTCCACTGCTCCACCTGGGTGTATCTCACGTGTGATGAGTTAAATGCAGAGAACTCATTTCATCGTTGTATGGGAACATACAATGATGACAACACATAGCACCGCCCTGTGAGGTTTATGGGTTCAGCTCTCATCCTATAATTTATCAGAGTAGTTTAAAACCTTGTGCATTAAGTTACAACCATGATTCTTGTCCACAGTAACCATTGTGGAGTTTAAGTTTAACAGCTCTGAGTCTGTTTCCTCCCAGCGATGGGTCACCCAAATACCTCAAGTAGTTCACTTGATCACTCCCGGCATGCTGACCCTGTTTTAAAACTATTAGCCCCAAAAATAATAGGGACAGCCTCAGGGTAGCTCTGTATCATTAAAGGCAAACATGAGGAAGCAAGTTTATTCATTTGTTTCGTCTATTTTTTCTTGATCCTTGCGGCTAAAACAACACAAAAAGCCGTGTTTTCACATATTTTTCAGCAGCTGTGGAGAACTTGTCCTCCAAAAAGGATAACCGTTACGTAAAGCTTTGAAACCATTTGGTTTGATGTTTACCGGGAGCTTGGTGACTTTGGAGGATCATCCACATCTTCCACGTACGAAGCTGGAAACCATCCCTGACTGAAGACAAAGGAAAGAGGAGAATGTTAGTTGTACATCTTGAAGACTGTTACAGAAAAAATACTTCAATCTGAAAGACGGTGGTACAAATCAAACTCAGTGATGGGCCAGAAAAAAGTTTTGTTGACCTTGTAAAAGAAAAAAAAGAAAAAAACTCAATGTTTTACAGACAAATTTATGCTTTTACTAATCTACCAAAAGAACCTCACTAATAGTCTTATAAAATGTAACTTTAGACCAGGGGACTGCAACCTGTGGCTCTGGGGCCACATGCAGTTCTTTGGTCTGTCGTCTGCAGCTCTTTGAAGCTTTGACTAAAACTAACATATATATACATACATATACATACATATATATATATATATATATACATACACATATATATATATATATATATATATATATATATATATATATATATATATACACATATATACAGTGTTTCTCCTTTCCCACCCACATTTTTATGTTGTTGGTCTGGGGAGTAGAGCCGGCAACCTTCCAATCACAGGCCCACCTTCTCTAACCACTGCACCACCACACCCCCTTTATCTAACAAACTGTTTGATTTTTTTTTAACCAAATTTGGGCTAAATTATATATTATTTCCCTGTTTCGCTTAAATATGGCTTTTCTTTTGTCCTAAAATTTAAAACTATCAATAGATAATGAAATTCATTAAATAGTTTTGAGTTTTATATAGCGGTGTCAACGTTAACGCATGCGATTAATTTAAAATGATAAATTTGTTAATATTACATAATGCAGATTAATCCATTACTATACTGTTTACCAATGTTCCATCTAAGATGCACGTGAGCTATCACGCGCTGCTTGTATATTCTTTGTGCACAAGAAGAGCGCAGCACCACTTTTCTAAAATGCGTTCAGAGTGGAGGAGAAACCCCACCGTCCCGGTCAAACACACGTGTCACGTGATTTGTCTAAGGAAAACAGAAGTTAAACAAGAGGTAAAAACTTCAACCAATGAAATGACAGGCCAACTTTCATTCCAGCCAATCAGCGTCTTCTGGAGTTTCAGCGCTACGTGCAAAAGAGCTAAGTAGCTACAAACAACTTGTCTTCTAGTGCTTTTCCAAGCTTTATGCTGCATATTTCATCGCATACCGAGGAATAATATTTGACGTTGCGGATTTATCACAGAAGTTTACGGTCGTACGACGTCAAACAAAGGTGGTAAGTAAGCTAACCCCACAACTTGTAGCTGTTTTCATCATGCTAAGTGTTAGCAAACAGTGGTGCTTGGTGGTCATGTGGATGGTCAAAGGAAAATTTACAAGCCAGTCGTGATGTTGAGACCAGCTATGTTGTATGGTCTGGAGACAGTGGCATTGACAAAAAGACAGGAGAAAGAACTGGAAGTGGCAGAAATGAAGATGCTGAGGTTCTTAGGAGTGACAAGGCTGGATAAGATCTGATAGAGATCTGTCCTACTGGCTAACCGCAGTAATGCTGTGTCAGATGTAAAATCAGAGTTGTCAGATTTAACCCTTACCTTTTTTTGAGTTGAAATCTGTGCGTAAATGGTGTTAAAGTCTGTTTTATTTGAGAGCTACATAGCAAAGCCACACGGTAACTACGGCCGGCTTGCCGTACTGTCGTCGTATTCAGACACAAGCGCAAAACGCTGTGTTCCATCGAAAGTCAAAGTAAGCGTTGGTCAGCTTTAGATGGTGCATTTGTGCTAAATAAAAAGGGTTAAACCTGCTCTCTGATCTGTGAAAAGAATGCTGTGTTGTGTGATTTTACTGCGAGACCCTCTCTGGTCAAAGCCACAGAGGAAACTGGTCGCCATTTTGTGTCAAAAAGTGGAAGGAGACGCCCACTGGAGGGTTAAGTGTTTTCAGTGTGCACTTATGCTGCTCTGTTGCTGTTCATTCTTAAGTGAGAACTCTGGAAAATGTTAAGAGTTAACATATTCTTTTGTTTAAAACATATGGCTAAAACTACATTTGATAATTTTGCACTGTTTTGCACTTCAAGAAAAAAGCCTAATACTTGATTTGTTTTTTATTTAAGAACTCTCTGGATCTAATAGTGGAATTTTCTTGAGTGTGATTATTTTGTGGTATAGCAGTTTTCAAAATAAATGATGGCAAAATGACACCCTAAGCTTTTGTCATTCCTATTGCAAGTTTTATACCAAAAACATGATATATATCGTTACCGCCACCCATCACTGTAGATATCGGGATATGAATTTTATGCCATATCACACATCCCTATTAGGAATGAGATCATCAGAGGTACAGCACAGGTTGAATAACTAGGAGATAAAGTGAAAGGCCAGAGTGAGATGGTTTGGACATGTCCAGAGGAGGGACAGTGGGTATACTGGTAGAAGGATGTTAGAAATGCAGCTGCCAGGGAAAAGACAAAGAGGAGATATGTGGATGCAGTTAGAGAGGACATGGAGTTGGAGTGAGGACTCGGGGAGCTTGTGTGTTTGCCCAGACACATGAAAAATTAGAGGGAACATTGCTGTTTACATGTTTTGATCACATAGATTACACTTAATGAGACATTTGAGTCAGCATTTATAAATTAATGTTTGAAACAAAACAACTTCTGTAAACCTTGTCGAGTATGAAAACCTGGAAAACTGTTTGGTTTGACACAATAAATCATTTTCTTCAACATTTTATGATAACCTGCATATTTACATTTCAAGCTTAAAAAGTTAAGCATAGTGATTAATCAGATTAATCGTAGCCCCAGAGTGTGATTAATCTGATTAAATTTTTTTAATCGATTGACAGCCCTAGTTTTATAATGTAATTATTTATAATGTACTGATAACTGCAGTTGTCCTTGGTTTTGCAGCTCCAAACACATTTTTTGATGAACATCTGGGCAGAAATGGTTCTTTTTTCCACATCCATTCAAAAACAAACACAGTCCCAGCTGAACGCGTCACACCTCGGGCTGCCCTCTGCACATCCGTACAGCCAGCCGTTCTTGGGCTGTTGGACCAGCACATTGACGATCTCTCCTCTGGAGAAGGGCAGTAAGGTTGGGTTGGAGCCAGTGGGCTGGTGCGCCACCCTGGCCCTCATCATCACACCGCCGCCACCGCCTCGAGAGAGCGAAATGCTTCCCTGCGGAGACGGGGCTGAAGGAACAAGATATAAAGAGAGTTAGAGAACAGATGAAGTATAAAGTGGTTGATAACCTGTCATACAATAAAGGATTTCTGCAGGTAAATTAATAAAGATCAGAATGACTTGACTTTATTTTCAAATTATATTGTAATTTGAATGGTAAAATTCTGTTTCATTGATATTCATAACTACAGGTGTCATGATCCTGACATTTCTAACTGTGAGCAGACGACTAAATATTCAGCTCCATCCTAATTTTCTTTGTTTCAGCAGCAGGGGATTCAAAGGATTTGATTGTTCTCAACAAAGTGCCTCATTTTTCTCCCACTGAGCTCAGGTTTGGCAGCGACAGGCATCAAGCCTGCTGCAGCGATTCAGAAGAGGAAAACGCTGTCTCTGATGAGAAGTATTTCAGCTTATTTCTATTTTTCTTTGGATAAGCAATCCAAATGATTGGGAGTACAAATGATGAGTTAATACAGCCCATAATGAGCAGAATTATGTAGAAAGAAAGGCTGAAAGACTCATAAAACATCTGATAAAGTCAAGGCCAACACTGATGGGAGCTGCAGTAGAAAGGCAGAAATGTATAGATAAAATTAATGAGACAAACATTTTGAAACAAAAACATTGTGGGAGCCTTAAAATCACAGTTTATAAAGTTGTTTTCTTGTTAAAACGAGCTGTAAGTGAAGCAGCATTCATTTTCGCTGAACAACTCACCCCTTGATGGTATTCTGCCCAGCAACAGCGCCTCTCGGATCTGCCTTTGATCTTCTGCTCGCATTCCCAACTGCAAACATTTTACACACAATCAAACGGTGACGGCTGCAGCTGACATCAACTGTAAACTCAAAAGATGACATGTAAGAAAGTTAAGTCAGGTCCTCTGGACGGTTTCTTTATGTTGAAATGTTTCGTCTTTCATCCAGAAGGCTTCATCAGTCCGAAGAGCCACAACAAACTCATTCTTATAAATAGCACCTTCACCTAGTGGTGATCAAAACATGATACATGTCTTAGTACAGAAAAACAAGCAAAATTAGTTTTATGGTTGAAATTTAAAAAGACGGGTGGGGTCCTATGATACACTTGTAAGTGATACCTAGGCCTGTCACGATAACATATTTCGCTGGGCGATTAATTGTCTCAGAAATTATTGCGATATAACAATAATATTGTAATTATTGTCAAATTTAAGAAGAAATGTTGGTTAATTCATTTTGCACGCAGTACCTTTTTTTGACCACCGGATGACAGTATAAGACTGAACTGAAGGATAGATAGTGAGGGAGCGAGCAGCGTGTCTCTTTAAGGAAAAAGGGAGGGAGGCCCCTTGAAGTGACATGAGCGGTCTCTCCTTCCTGTTTTTTGAATCTCAAAATGGCGGACACTCCGTGTGGTTTGAGCTCTTTAGCATAGCATTTGTCACAGAAAGCTTTTAATAAAAAAATCAGTAAACAAGTTCTCAACTTCTTTTTGCAGAGAAAAACAAGTTTTTAGACGAAAGTACGGTTTCAACCGTGAATTTTGGAGTTTTAACAAGACGGAGGTTTATTCCCCGAGGTCGGCCTGTTAGCTTAGCTCGTAGCTTAGCTTCTCAGCTTAGCTGCTTTTTACGACCCAAAAACGCAATTTTGGACGGTTAAAACACATTTTAAAGAGAAAGGGAGGAGTCAGTGAAGAGCACTGGAGTTGAACCTTTTGTCATCCAGTGTCTTCAGTAGAAAGAGAGAGACATGAAGAAACGATAAAGCCGTAAAGCCGATAAATGAAAATGAGGTTGATAATTTTCATTTATCATGCAATTAATTGATTTATTGTTTATCGCGACAGGCCTGGTGATACCGTATTTTTCGGACTAATAAGGCGCACCAGATTATAAGGTGCAATAAGTAAAACAAAACGGTCAGATAAGTCAAACTTTGTTCAACTCATTCACAATAACCACATAAAATTGGTTTGAGGTCAGTAAGCACAACCAGAATTAAGATGTAAGGATCACCTGACTATAAGGCTCACTGTCGATTTTTGAAAAAAAATTTGAATCTTAAGTGCAACTTATAGTTGAAAAATACGATAAATATCTTACCTGTTGTAGATAGAGCTTTAAGTGACTTCATGTTGGTAAAAAAAATAAAGTCTAATTCTGACTGAACTGATGAGCTAGCTGCTATAGTTCAAATGTGACCAAGATCAAAGTGGAATTTTCTTTACAAGGTTATTTATCAGATTTAATATGATATTCCAACTATAGCTGCCTCAAGTTGCACCAAAGTGCTGCAGCTAGAGATGGGATATGTGGCTCTTGTAGATCTATTTGTTTCAGTCATTCAATTTTAAATGATAGGGACATACAATGTAGGGGTCGTAACACTTGACTTGTCAAACACTCAACTCCTCCCGAGCTGCTGTGCTCCTCCTCTGCATGCACAAAGGAAACCACGAGGAGAAGTAACAGCTCCCAACTGTCCGCAACTCAGTTCCCATTGTTCTTTTTAACGAGTTGTTCAAAATCACTTGCTAACGTCACATCTAGCTACAGCTAGCTGTTAGTTTATCAGTCTGGTAGGAATTAATCTCTGTTCCTCGAAACTGTGTTCTTTCAAAAATCTATCTAAAACATGTAAATTACTTAGTCCCTCATTTTTCGCGGGGGATCCGTACCCTCAAGACCCACGATAAGAGAAAAACCGCAACATGGGAATAGTAACGAGTAGTAAGTAGTAGT